GGCTACGCGTCTATAAAGGTGAGACATAATAAATTATGGGTTTGAAACTTTTTTTTTGCAGCAAAAGAACGTTGCAGGAAGACAGAGAAACACATGGGTTTCGTGCTACCAATTTTACGCGTAGTTTTGGTCTCAGTGCTAACTACAACACTCATTTTCTAACTACAAACTCTCTATAACTTTTCATTTTCTCTTAAACCGCGTTTCACCGGGAAAATGGTCACCTAATCAGTGAACTGATATGCTTAATGCTTTATAGTGTATGTTTAAATTGCACTGATATCGTAAAATTAGTTACAAAAAAAGAGAGAGAACAAAATCATAAGTAGATATAGAACAGGAGAAGAAATAAAGTTGAATAAGTAGAATACAAAACTAAAAAGCACAACGTAATATTAAAAAATATTATTGAAAAATTACACGATTTTTAAAAGATTAACTTTATTATAAAAATTTGAAGGGAAGTGGGACGGAGAAGAAAAAATTGAAAATGAGTAATTTTTTTTTTTCATATAGAAAAAATACATGAGTTCTATTTTCTAAAACTTTTTTGTAGATATATACAGAAAACAATATAAATAATGAACAGTGTTTTTAATATACCCCAAACCTAAACCTTTTAATTATATAAGGAGGTGAGAATTCAGGATAAGAGGGGAGATGGATTGAGAAATATATTTGAAAGGGTTTAGGGATGAGATGAGGTGGGGGTAAAATAGGGAATGCAGGAATTAAAATAAAAGGAGGTGAATAAACAAAAATTCAAGTGTGAGTAACAAAGCATGCCAACACCTTACATCGTATACGCATAGTCCATGTTTGGGCCCGTTTTCCCTTTCATATTTCTTTTTTGTGGAATTACAAAATGTTTAAACTTGTTTTTTAGTGCAATGAGCCCAATTGGGCTAGCTTTATACAGTGGGAAATGTTGATCTAGTTTCATGGACCAGAAACGAATAAAGAAAGCAGTATCCAAAATATGTCAATAATAATTTATTATAGATAAAATGGTAAGGTTTTATGAAGATTTCAATTTAATTATCAAAATTTAAATAAATTGTATTATGTCCAAATTCATTAAAATTGTTTTATTTATTTAATTATTTTTTATTTGTAACTGTATTTTATATAAATTATTATTTTTTGGATTATTCGTGGAGTGTCGATTATTATATTTTAGGTTATTATTATATTTTGAGTCTTATATAAAAAGACTCACTCATATAATAAATTTTGCCTAATCATCCATTCTTAAATACATTACTCTATTGTCTAAAAATTAGCGTGTTTTTTGCAAGTAGGTTTATGCTATTTTTAAAGGAAGTCATCTAGTAAACTTGAAACTAAAGGCAAAGTCGAAGCTCCGAACACTATCTACCAATCTCATCACATCTTCTTGCCGATTTCCCCCAGCCCAGTAAGAACATTTGGCGCCCACTGTGGGACCTAGTAAAATGATCTCACAATCTCTTCCACCTTATGGTTTTAACCTACAGACAGATGGTGTCCAAGTCCAATCCTGCTCAAAGTCAACACCAAGCGAACATCAAATTATTCAGCAACATCGGACGAATAGGTCACGTATAAACCAAGAAGAAACCACCACATCTGGTCTAGTGCGAACTCAACAATTGCTAGCATTGACCCACAAAACTCAAATCAAACTAGAAGTCAACTTACACATATAAAAAAATTCACCTAACCCAAGTGACAGAACGCCAAGTCGAAGGAGGTGGAGCCACTCGAGGGAGATTGTGAAACACAAACACACTAACGAAGCAACAATCCAATTCCTTCATTCGAGATAATCTATAATGGAAGTCTCACTCCGACTTTGACCCAAAAGTCCCAACGTATACAAAGGATCGAAATTCATGAAAAAGACAATGACCACCTACTTGTCCCAGGAATCATAGATACATCTCTCTCACCTAACTAGGAGCCACTTGACATAGAAAAATATGATGGTTCGACAGATAAAAAAAACACTTAGTAATGTATAAGACACAGATAAAATTGTATACCAATAGTAGAACCATACTTTGCCAAGTCTTCCCCACCACATTCAAATGACCAACTTTACGATGGTACAAATTTTTACCCTATAGCTATGTTGATTCATATTATATGTTGGTGGAACGATTCCAAGTTAGATTCGTAACTAATAATAGGCACGAAGCCACGTCAGTGACTCTAGAAATTGTGAAGTAGGGTAAGGGCGAGTTCCTCTATAGTTTCGTGGATCGGTTTGCGCGAATTTCAAACATAATACCAAATTTACACCCAAGGTGGCCTTACATTGGATACAAATTGCTTTACCGTCCGAACTTTTGATGGATAGTTGTTTTACTTATCCATCGAGGGTCCTTGATGAACTGTGGGCTCACGCAACCAACTACATTCGTACGAAGGATAACAATGTCATATATAAGAGAATACACATCAGTCCTTAGACACACTTGACTCAACCCTTCAAAACACCTAGGACAGCTAAATACAAATATTACATACCCTTCATTACACGAGCTATACATCCCTTACTCGAGGTCGCACAAGTTATGCATAACTTATTCTGGTATACAAGTTATCAAAACCTGCATTTACCTTACTTGGGAACACATGAGTTATCAAATATCTTTGCATGACAAAAAAATAATCTTTATTGAGTAGATCTCACGAATATATCTTGATTTAACCGAATAATAATTGATAGAATAAACACGTTCAAATCGAATATTACTCGATGAAATGATCAACTTAACCTTAAACTGGTTTGATCTCTATTCCTAAAGGAATTCGACCTCCAAGCTTGGGGGGCTTGTGTACCTACCCAACCAAAATTCATTAAAACTACTTTATTTATTTTATTATCTTTTATTTATTATAATATCTTATATCAATTATTATCTTTTGAGCTATTAATTTTTAGTTATTATATTTTTGGTTATTATCATCTTTTGAGTCCTATATAAGGAGACTTAATTAGGGAGTAAATCTCACTTCATCACCCATTTTCAAATATATTACTCTCTTGTTTAAAAGTTGAGCGTCAGAGTACTTTTTGCAAGTAAGTCTATGTTCTTTCTAAAGGAAGTTATTCAACATTATCAAAGCAAAAAACAAAGTCAAAACTCAAAACACGATGTACCAATCTCATCACATCCTTTTGCCGACCTCCACCAATCCGGTTAGAACAATAATAATTTTTAAAATATAATATTTATTTTTATGATAATTTTTCATTTTAAATAATTTTTACACAATATTATTAAAATATAATTTAGTTTATATAGATGTCATATAATAATTAAATTATGTTTTATCATTAAATATAATTTAATTTATATATATATATATATATATATAAACATTAAATTATATATTTTAATGATAATACTTGAAAATAAATTTGAAAAAAATTAAATGTGGAATATTGAAATTATTTTATATATTTATTAAAATGAAAGGAGTAACTAAAAAAATATTAACTTTAAACAAAACAAAAAAATTCACCCTTCAATAATATATATCAAGTGTTTGGTACACATGCATGTAAATTCGAATATAAACTTTATGGGTGGAATAAAAAAACTAACAAGAAATTATTATGCAAAGGAATAACTTTATGCCAAAGGCACACTTTTGCAATCATACATGCATGAGGGTTGTCTTATACTTGAGAAACAGAACAAGCAACCTGGTTTTAATGCTCAAATGTCTCTCTTCATGTCAATTAAATCATTATTTTTAGTCCACTTCACCGTTTACTTTTAAAAATCAAATATTTTGTTTTTTTTTTCTTTTGAAACTACAGGTTCAACAATAAAAGCTACTTCCATAGAAAAACTAACTAAATACGTAATAAAATAGGCCGAATATTATTTGTAGCTTTTATTTGTCAATTCGTAACTTCAAAATAAACTAAAATAAATAATATGAGGGTGTACCTTTTTTTAGGGAGTAATCCAAGTGAAAAAACCCACAGAAATTTCTACAGGAGTGCTGGTGCTTCAGCCATTTTTTCCCTCACGATTTCGGTAAATTTTATTTGCGAAATAGTTAAAATTTAAATTATAATAGAAAATAGTTATGTTAATGCATATTTATTCAATTACGTATAAATATATACAAAATAGTAATGCTTTGTACACAACACTGTGCAAAAAGACCAAAATCAATATGGGAAAATTATTCTCGTATGTCTTGGTTGAGTGAAGTTATACTCTATTTTTTGCATCGATTTCTCTTAATCAATATATCAATTTGCATGAAAATGTAAAAATATATTTGTGTTAAAGGGAAGCGTACTATGTTATATAAAAGGAAGGTTGGTATAAAGTTAAAAATGAATAAATAAAATATATGCATTGGTAGTATTCTTTTTTTCTTTACAAATATTTGATGAGATTTGATAGTTTTATTTTATCACATCATTCTTTTCTTTAATATGACGTGGACTAATTTTATTGAATATGTTAGTGTAAAAAACAGTACAAGTTTAACTGAATATAAAGTAAATTGGCTAGTATGTAAATTTATTGTAGATAAATTTAATAGCAAGTATTGTGAATGCACAAAGTAGTTTATGTAATGTTAACTCAACAAATAAATAAATAAATAATGGTAAGGAAATTATAAGAAAATGTATGATTAGCATTATAACATCATACTAGTATTAAACAAACCCAAGTAGAACAGTTCAGAAGAGGAGGGTGGAAAGTAGAAGAAACTCAAGCAGTGATCTTTTGCCTTTTAAAAGCTTAACTAAGTGATGAGATTCAGAATATTGGGAGATTCATAAAGAAGCAGAAAATAGGACCCGCTTGTAGCCCATTCATATATCATGTAACCTTTTCAGGTGAACTACACACCAAAAGTAATAAAAATAAAAACAAAGGGAAATGCATATAAGATGAAATAAAGTCTTAGAAAGCCTCTTCACTTGGATTGTTTTTGTCTCTTTTTGCGTTACTATTTGATCTTTCTTTTCTCAAGCTTGGTTATGCATGCTTGCCATGGCCATATATGAACCTAGCACTTTCCTCTGTGTATACATGGGTTTCATTGTCCAGCCTGTGTAATAGTGACAAATTTATGTGTGTCAAGAACACTTCACAGGGAAAATTGCAATTGCAAGAGAATGAAATGCAACTATTGAACTAAATGTTCCACTTACGACTTGCGAACAGTTTTGCTCAAAGTTGAGGCGGATGTGAATGTTTTCCCATCAAGATATCTATTTTCCCCCTTAATCCTTTGTCTCATTCTGAGGTCTAGCTCTTCTGCATTCAGGTCTAATGGAGAATCTGAAGCCTGTTACATTCCAAAGACTGACGATCTTAGCAATAATATCCATGGTATGGCACCTTATGTTTCTCTGGTTTTGTACGCAAAATTTGTCTTTTAAGATATATTTCCTATGATGTTCTTCTATCAAATAGTTAATCAACCTTATACTTCATTTATCTGTGAACCTTTTCCTAGTATATCTCTTAACATAGATAGAAATTAATTATCAGCAATATTTACCATGACCCATCCCCAGATATCAGCATAGGATGGGATGTGAGCTGAATAAGGCACCACATCTGCAAACAAAAGGAAATGAGTTTAATTTGATGCAATTGATATCAAATGAGCATTATAGAGAACCGGGAAAACATGTTCAGGAAAAAGAAATTTTTTCTAATTACTTACACTTGAAAACTTTTCTCAAGGTGTTGTAGATACATGAGAACACTTCTGTGTGGCTAAATATTCCAGCTGGTCCCGCCTGAACGAGTACAAAAATTTAACACACAAAGGGTTAATTAATTAGGTTTAGATTTTATTTTTTATAGGTATTGATACATATATAGTGTGACTCATATACCTGTGTCACAAATATGCCACCTTGCTTCAGTCTAGGCTTGACAATTAACTCATAGAAGGATTTAGTGTAGAGTTTATAGCAAGGTCCTCCATCAATTGGATCTGCCAAGTCGCCAATTATCACATCATAACTCTCATCTCTCGCTTCTAGCTCAGCCCTGTAACGTGAGACATTGTACGACTTAGTGGCAAACATAAATATGGATTAAAGAATGAACCAAGAAGCACGGTGTACATTATTAGTTTATCAAACCTGGCATCATTGATGACGACCTCAAGTCTTTGATCACGGAATGCTTCCTTGTTCACAACCAAGTACGATTTGCAGAAATTCACCACCTCCTGCTCCAGCAAGCACATGGATTTTCATTTGTGAATAATTAGCTGTGTGGTATATAAATATACAATGAAGAGCTAACTAGCTTTATACCAAGGAGATTTTACCTCATCTATGTCACACATTACTACTTTGTCTATGGTCTTGTGCCTGAGCAATTCTCTTGCAGTAGAGCCTTCTCCTCCTCCCATAATAAAAACATTCTTTGGGCTAAACCAAGTAAAACAAAAGATTAATAAAATATAAAAAGTTGTGCCTACATCTCCACATATCTTAAATTGTTATAGGGCAAAGGAGGTACTTAGGATTGTGAAGCAGAGCCGGATGAACTAGACATTCATGATAGATAAATTCATCTGTCTCGGCACTCTGAAGCTTTCCATCAATTACCAAAGCCTGCAAAAGGGCACAAGAAAGTGGAGCACATAATAAAAGGCTAGGTTAATTTAGGTTCTTGATCAATAAAGGTAACTTTATGTTGTATGAGCTTGTGAACCTTTCCAAAGGGTTTTGTGTCCAACAAAGCAATGTCTTGGTACTGGCTAGCTCCTGTATGCAATATACTGCAATCGCACCGAAGATAAAAGAATAATTATACTTACATGAAAGTAACACATGAATGACACGTAAAACTATTTTTCAAAGTTCTTACACTATAAAAGATAAAGAGATGAAGAAAAGGTGCAGCCACATTATAAAATAGAAACTCTGATGTGAAAAATATGTGCCACAATAGTGCTAGACTACGAAAAAGTTAACTTATTTTCATTTGTGTTTTGTCTGCCTTTTTCATGGCCTCGAGCAAAACGAGTTTATGACTTTTAGGATCCCTTTTACTTTTTCATAGCATGAGAAGCTGGAATCATCAAAATGTCCGTGATATGCACAGCCAAGAAAACTCTAGACATTAGTAGCAGACAACTTGTACTGTACTTTTGTCTCACTCAAATCAAACCCGAATAAAAAAGCTCTTGCTTCTTTTACGTTCTTGTTTTGTGGCTTTATTCCTTCCATGAATCTTCTTAAATCATCATTAGCAAAAAGAAATAATAACTAATTGTAAAATGAACATGCAAAAGGCCAAAAGAGCAGTCAAAGCTATTTCTATGAGAAAATAGAGACTTCAAAATGTGAAATATTAACCGGGTGAGACAATTTTAATTGTCCACAAGAAGTATATACAGAACTTCAATATGGAAGATCTGCTGGAGACAAAACTTCCGCATTGAGAAGTTAAGCAAAATTAATTAATGTATTATAACAGGGTATTATATCAGATGTGCTACTTTGCGTTGCTTAAGAACAAAAGAAGAAGAAAGAGATAGAGATAAGTATGTACCTGTTGAGAGCAAAGCACCATCTTAAGTCCTCTTCGATCTCTTCTTCATACCAACAACTCTTCCTGTAACCATTCAGAGAATGGCTTTGTCCATTGACTCCATTAATACTGCCATTGCTAATGCCATTTGGTAAAGCTATCTCCCCCATGTTAGCTTGCCACTCAGAACCTTAGAGCTATTGAAGGATGTATTGGAAAGAGAGATAAAGAGAAAAGATAGCTAGAGAAGTGTTGTGGATAGGATAGGAGATGGGAGGAGAATATAAGGAGGTGAAGATGGTAGGGAAATCAAAAGGGCCAATGATTCGGGTTGGGAATGTAAAAACCAAGAAATCTAGCAAAGTGGATGCGCTCAATACATGAAAAGCGCAATATCCTCATGGGGTTTCGTAAAGTAGAATACAAATAAGCTTCGGGGGATTTCTGAGGTTGATTTGATATCATAGTCAGGCCAATATCTTTGCTACACATACTTGTATATGTGCATGCTAATAACAGTAATAACAGAAAGTCTTTGTTCTTTATCATTCAAAATACACTACCTCAGTTATAACACTAAAAGAAGTAACACAGTAAGAAACATTAATGACTTACATAATTAACGTGACACACATTGAATAATGGTTACATGCCATAAACACTTTCTTGTGAACTTTATGAGCAGCTAAGGAATTTCTCCAGAGTACATATACATGGCATGCATGATTTTATTTAATGATGTTATTGCTACAAAGTTGTCACATTGGAGATTGTTGCGTATTGCCATATACTGCTACTACTAGTATATTAGAAAAGGGTAAAAAGGTGATGATTGTGGGAGTGACAATTACCGAAAATTCTGGTAATTCTTTTTCCTTCTGAGATGTGTGCAAAAATCTTGGGTTTGTAGAGGAAGACAGAAAGAGAAAGGGGCGTGCAGTGGTGACAATCATATTTATTCTCTTTGTTGTTTCAAAAGCTATGGAAGAGAACTGCGCGTGCCTTACCATAAGTACTCATCATCACTGTCACCATCAAAGCAATCCCCCAAACTAATAAATTTATTTTCAACCCCACCATTACAAACAAAATTTAACCACCCATTGATGTGCAATTGGATATTTCATCAAGCAAGAGAGATTCTTAGTTTGTCCTGGAGTAATATACTAGTTTTGCACCGTAAACATTTTTTCCCCACCACCTATATGATATTATAAATATAAATTTAGAGATATATAATAACTTACTAAGATGGTGGATATGAAAAATAAGAGACTTCTCTTCAAAAATATACACTCAAGTATTTCTCCCTAGTATGACCCACTTTGTGGGTCCATGAGGTTTATTGGCTGTTTTTCTGTTGATGTAAGGTTGGCATCAGCATGATGTTTCCACACAGACACTAATGAGGACAGGGAGGGGGCGTAAGATAAGATACTGTTGCTCATGCTGGCCAACCATGCATTCGAAGAAATCATCCTTGGTTGGGGGTTATGGGGGAGCTATGATGGACTAAGTGTCCTCGTGTGTACAAGCTATTATGCTTCCAAAACTTCAAAAAATATATAAATAACCCCAGTGTTTTCTACTTCTCAAGAAGGCTGAAGAATCTAATTAACTACCTTTTACAAACTAATAAATAGAAGCATGTGCTTAGCAAGATAAATAAAATATATGAAGAAGAAAGAACACAGAAAAATGATAATTCACAGACAGATGAGCACCATATTGTGTTCTGCAACAAAGTGTTTTCTGTGATATTGTTGTGACTCGCAAAAATTAGAAAGAACAATACGTGCCAGTGTACAATTTTATTAATAAGGCCGACAACTTTCTTATTCTTTTTTTTTTTCATATGCATGAATCTGTCTATCGAAATGGATTTCCTTTTCTTTGCTGATAGGTGCGAGGCTAGTGGTCTTATCTTGTTATCGAAAAGCGGGGAAGAAAAATAAACCAAGCATGCATTGCTTTTTCATCAAATACTAATTACTTTTGGACCTCAGATAAGCTTAACTGGTTTGATCCTGATCGAACTACAGGAGATAATAAAGTAATGGATTGAGACTAAATGCTTTTGCTAGACTAAAGTATTTGGAAAGTTTCTTTTGAAGTTTGGTGATGAATCAAACAAGTCAGAATTAACGTCCAGATCATAGTAATAATTTATGCGTTTTACGCAGTCTATACTTGACAAGTGGTTTCAAACACAATTCGTTTTTTTATTCATGTTTAACAGAACTTCACAAGCAAGTACAATTCGTTTTTGTTGCCTAACTTGCGTATTCATGGGATGTTAACTTCATGTGATAACTCTGCTATTTGATAACATTATTTGCCAAACAAGAAACTGTTGACGCGTATAAATTTAAAGTTGTTTCTAATTATACATTTTTCAGGACCACTAATGTCCCAAAAATGATGATGGAACATGCACTCCGATACAGAAATTTCAAATTTCAAAACCATTTTATTTAAGAATGATATTAACCGCTACTCTAAATATACACCTTTGAGAACTCGGTTGATAGATGATTCAGATAAATTTTAAAATGTGAACTGAAATATAATTACGTATACCATGTAATTTTTTGTTTTACATCTTTCTCTCTATCAAACCATTTTATCGTGGTAAATACGAAATTGTTAGAAATTTTATTATTCTTTCATCTTCACAATATTTTATACAGATCACGCAACATAAATTTTCTTCATTATCTAATCAGTTTGATCGAATATACCACACAGTCATATTTTCAACAATCATCTTAAATTTTTTGAATACTTTAAATTTCTTTTTTAACAAATACACTCATGTCTTTCCATAAAAATCATTAACAAATATCATTTATATGCTTAAGTGGTTTGTCTATTTGGTACTCAGACACTCTTTGAAAAATGGGTTGTTGTCAATTTTTTAATTACACATTCTTCACAAAATCTTTTTATTCCAAACACCTCTTAAAATTAATTATTTAATTTTATTCAACAAAACCCAACAAAACTCTTTCATAAAATTAAATTTATTGAGAAATTGTACATTATTGATTTTATGTAATACCTCAAATGAAGAATATAATCTTGTATTTATATCCACTCCCGAAATATTCTCAAAATCAAATAAAAATTACCCAAAACATTGTTAATATCAAAATATTTCAACTAACTCTTAATTATATTCTCATTATCTTTTTATTCCAAAAAAACTCTTAAAACTTATTATTTAATTTTATTCAACAAAAATTCAATACATATGTAGTAAATTAAAATGAAAAATAATATTTAACCCAAATTTGAAAAATAATTAGTATTTTGTTGAGTTTAATCAATATAGGTTACATATAAAATAAATATAAAAGAATATCATATTACTTTTAACACAAATTTTAAGATAATATATTATTCAAATTTATCAATTTTACCGGATGTAAGATTTAACTCTTACTTAAATTCTATTTACTTTCAAGTGTGATTTTCTATACACATTCAAATACTCTCTCTTAAGCCCTTTAATAATATTATCATTCATGTCAATAGGACATATTTTATTAAGTGATTTAACTTTGTAATTGATTGAACAGCAAACCAGACAAACCATAATTATGATATTAGTCAACAAATTTTAAAGTACAGTTAAGAATATTGATATGTTTAATCAAGGAAAACTACAAATAAGATAAATATATAAAATTAAGTTATTTAATAAAAGGAAATGTAAACAAAAATAAAAGAATATAAGGTTCCTTTCAATCCAAAGATGAAAATATACATTTTAGATTTATTAATTTAAATATTAGAATCGAAACAAGTAATTATGGCCACTATTTGTAGAAGTTAAGGCACTCTAGCGTCCATGGTAGATGAAGTTGGCTTGGTTGGAGACTCCTCTTGACGATGATGTTTTTTGAAGATAGTCAACTTAGTAAAGGTTATCTTGGTCCCTATATACACTTCAGGTAGCATGTAAAACACATAGTCAACGCATGGTTGTGGACATGTACTTACTAAATGCCTTTACATTATAACAAGCAGGTAAGATAACTTTCTGAGACAACTCCCATTTCAATTCAAGTATTGGGAGAAGCATCAAAGGTCAAATATTATGATATTTATTGTCCCTCTAATCTTCCTTTCTCAATAATGAAACAAACTCCTCTACTTGAAGATGGAGGACCAACATTATGACCCTTACATAACCATCCCAAAGATTAAATAAACTTAACTTAAATTTGAAAATAAAAAATGTACAAAATAAACAAAAATTGATTGTGTTTGAAAAAGTCTACGATATTTTGTTCTCGTCACACAATTGTTTTTCCCTTCTAGTTTATGGATAAATTATCCTGAAAGAATTTTTCCCCATTTTAACAAATACACATCACAACTAAATAATATTTATTTATTATTTAGTAAGACAAACGACTTTGTTTTAGGTCGGACCCAATTTTCGCAGTAAATGAAACTTAAATAAATGTAGTTGCTATGTATGTTTGTGTGAGGGCCCAACGTATTTGGGCCATAACTGATGTGGGAGTCCAATATGTCTGATCAACAAATGATGTGAGAGCCCAGCCCAATATCTCTAATCCACAAATGATGATCCACTATATCTACAAACCACTCTTACTCACGCTTCTTCTTTGACAAGTTAAGATATTAATCAGTTTTTTAAAATCGGACCTAAATCGGTGAAAGCATGGTTTATGCTAATCGGATTGAATTGGATTTAACAAAATAATTTTCTTATAATATAATAAATATATAATAAATTTATTAGTAATATTTTTTTTTATGAAAAAGAATAAATATATTAAAGATTATTATTATGATTATAGTAAGTTATAATAAAATTTATAAATATTAAGTATATTAAAAATAAAAATAAAAAATTATATCTTAATTTTTTTTTACCAAATCGATTCTACCAAAAATTAAATAAGTTTTTCTGGTTTTATTCATATTTAATTAAAGGCCGATTATTTAAAAGTAATATACCAATTTTTAATATGATTTCGGTTCAATTGAATTATCGATCAAATTTTAAAATTATAGACTGGTATAATAATTTTTTTTTCACTTTAATTCTAGGAGAAATTTATTAAGTAGTGATAAATTTTATGGTTATTTTAAATAATATATTTTTACAATTTACCATTTCCAAATTCATATAACTCATGATTCTCATTTTGGTAATTACAATCTCTTTTACCCATAAAGTGTTAAAAAAAATAATTATAAAGAACAATTATTTTTAATCTCTCAAATATTATATATAATCCATTGGCACTCTTAATTTTTTTTATCTGTTTATTTTTCCACATCGTACACCTATTAAGATTGGTATGCCAATTGCTGTGTGTTTTTTTGTCTTTCTCATAACCTGTCTTGTCAAAAAATAAAAATATTTTTTACAACACCTTGCAAATCTAATGAAAATAATTATATATAAAAAAAGACAATTATATCGTACAGTGTTTTAAAGCAAAAGTTTGATTAAGAACTTGGTTATTTGACGTGACCATTTTCGTAATTAGAAGTCACTTTTAACTTTTTTCTTGTTTTAAAAAAAATTATAACAAAAAGTACAACTATGATTATAATTAAATGTTACATCCCAATTTCTTTTTTACTATTACATTGGCTAAGGCCACGCCCTTGGTTTGGTAGCAAAAGAAAAGAAATTCAAGTGATTTAATTATGGGTTCTCTGTGCGGGTTAAAATATAAGGAATGAAGGAATGATGGATATAATATAATACAATATAGTAGTATAATATTATAACAATATTAATATATAGTAATACAATATTATGTACATTTTATATTAAATTTAAACAGTGCTATGTTCAATTTGCATAAAGTTTGTGGTTTAGGCTATGTTATTGTTATTATAAATATTTATTTTATTTTGAAATTTAACTTTATTCAAGTTTAACCTAATTGATTACTTGCTTGATATTTTTTAAAAATAAATCGAATTAAAATTTTATACACAGAATTAATTATTTTAAATTAAAAACAAACATATAGAATGTATTTTAAATATTATATTTCAATGATAATTGTATTTTCGAATATTTTATTATCACTCAATTTTTTATTCGGCGCAAGTATATAATATATTATATAATAACATGTTCCTGAGTCAAAATAAGTAATATATACACCCCTAAAAGTTGTATTTTATCTTAACTTAGTTTATTTTTTTCTGGAATATTTAAAGTTTATTTTATTTTATTTCACTTTTATTTTTAAAATAACTTACAATGATAATTTTTAAAAATTGTTTTGAGAAAAATATTTTTTTTAATAATTTTAAATAAAAAATTATATTGGTGTTTAAATAATAGAAAATAAATTTTATTAATTTATATTTTTTAATTTCTTAAAATTAAAAATTAAAAGCAGTTTTTAAAAACTGTTTTAAAAAATAACAGATTAAACAAGTTTTTAAATTTTAAATATTTAAAAAGTAAAAA